GTGCAACTGGTCTATAATTCTTTGCCAATGCTTTGCTACCACCCTTGTGTAGAGGGCCAATGTCTGCTGCTTGACTTACCGTGACAGCAAAGGGTAAGATCATCGACAGAGAGCGGAGAAGACGCCTGAAGGAAGAGGAAAGAAGACCATTGAGGGCAACCAGAAAAAGTAGTTCTCAGAACACTACCTTGGGGCACACCTTCGTATTGCTGAAAAGAGGCAGAAAGAGCGGTACCAAGCGTCACCCGAAAGGAACGACGAGAGAGGAAGCTGCAGAGAAAGAGGGAGATGACCACGAAGGCCAAAAGAATGAGGCTGGGATAGAATATGATAACGCCATGTGGTGTCGTAAGCCTTTTCCAGGTCAAAAAGGACGGCAACAACGGAGGTCTTCGCAGCAAAAGCAGTACGAATATAGACCTCCAAGTTCACCAGGACATCTGTTGTGCTGCTGCACTTGCGGAAACCATATTGAGAAGGGGAGAGGTGATCGTGTTCCAGGAACCACATCAGACGAACGTTAACCATACGTTCAAAGAGTTTGCAGACAACTCGTGAGGGCAATAGGGCGAAAGTCCTTAGGGGATGTTCCCAGAGACCCTAGTTTGCGAACAGGGAGGACAACGGCATCGAGCCAGTCCTCAGGGACTGACGACGACTCCCAGATCCGATTATACAGACTCAGTAAATACCGAGACGTGCACGGAGGGAGATGGCGAAGCATCTCATAATGAATGCCATTGGAGCCCGCTGCCGTAGAACCGCAGTGGGTCAGGGCAGAACGAAGTTCAGAGAGAGAGAAGGGATCATTATAGGGAAGTTGAAGACGAGTTTAGAAATCTAAAGGACGTGATTCAAGGACAGGTTTACGAAGAAGGAAAGATTGGGAAAGATGAAGACCAGAGCTAACAGAAGTGAGAACCCAGTTTGGTAGCGACCTGCAACGGGTCCGCCACAAGAGTACCACGGAGGTGAAGGACCGGTGAAACATCGGGAACGAACTTACCCGCTATCTTGCGGATTCGCTTCCAGATCTGTGGCAGAGGAAATTCGGACGTAATAGTGGAGACATAAGATGCCCAACATTCACGTTTAGCCGTACGGATGGCCCTACGGCCACCGCACTCGCTTTTTGAAAAAAAAAAGAAAAAAAGAATCGGCCGTCTGCCGACGGTGGTCTCTTCCAGGCTGCACGCTTACAGCGGACAGCCCGAGCAGTCTGCATTCCACCAGGGAACGCACTTCCGTGGACCCCGAGAGGAAGAGCGAGGAATAGAGCGGAGGGCAGCGTCGAAAACAGTCATGAAAAAGGAGGAGAGAGCAAGGGAGAGGCAGAAGGGAGAGGTCAGAGAGAGCAGCACAGAGGGTAAATAGGTTCCAGTCCGCTTTAGCAAACTGCCATCTAGGGAAGGAGAGGGGAGGACGAAAAGAGAAAAAGGTAACAAGGATGGGGAAATGGTCACTGCCATGGAGGTCATCAAGAACTCGCCACGTGAAATCTAAGTAAAGAGAAGATGAGCAAAGAGAAAGATCAAGACAAGAAAGGGTGCGAGTCCGAGAGTCCAAATGCGCGGGCTCACCAGAATTCAGAAGAGACAGGGAAGAAGAGAGGATAAATGGCTCAAGAAGGCGACCTCGGGTGTTCGTCAGAACATCACCCCAAAGGGAATGACGACAATTGAAATCACCCAGCAGGAGCACAGGCTCCGGCAAGGAGTCCAGTAGGTGTTTCAGATCAGGAAGAGAAAGCGGAACACTCAGGGGGAGATAAATGGAACAAACTGTGTACCATTTCCCCACAAAGATACGAGCAGAACAATGGAGAGGCGAAGGAAACAGTAAGGGGACAAAGGGAACATCAGAGCGAATCAAGAGAGCAGAAGAATTAGGAGCCCCAGCAATAGCTGGGTGGGGAGGGGGGGAGAGAAAGGAATAGCCACGAAAGCGACCAGGACGAGCACCAAGCATCGGCTCCTGGAGACAGACACAAAGGGGCGAAAACAGCGAAATCAGAAGTTGGAGTTCGAGGAAATTGGCGTAATAACCTCGAAAGTTCCATTGAAGAATAGACATCGACGAGAAGAGAAAGGACAACAACAGAGAACAAGGAAGAAACAAAGGCGAAAGAGCAACATAGAACGTTAAAGAGGAGTTAAAGAAGATCTGGGTCGGGATCAGGGTCAGCAAAGTCAAGGTTAGTGGGCATGGGTAAACTGAGCAAAGACGGAGAGAAGGAAGCGGGAGAACAGACCAGAGGTGGGCGGGCAGGGTCCGGAGGAGGAAGGAGGAGGAGACAATGGAGAGGAGCAGTCAAGGACAGCAGCAGGAAGAGGGGGAGTAGAGAGAGGGGAACGCACCTCAGCAAGGGCAGCAACCGAGAGGGAAGCGGGGGGGCCAAAGAAACCTCCATAGCAGGAATAGGGGGCGCAACCACCGAAACGGAAGGGGAAGGAGCAATAGAGCCAGTAGTAGGGGCCGAGGAAGAAAGCGAAGCTTTCTTACCCGCCGGGGAGGAGGAAGGAGAGGAGCCAGGCTTACGCTTCTGACTTAAGGAGACCGGTGTCCCAGCAACTACGTACCGGGCAACGGATTCCAGCGTCTCAACAGGAGAAGCTGAACGAGAGCACACACGACGGCCGTTAGGAGAGCGATGGACATCATCCCGCACCGATAGGCGGCGGGGAGAGTCAATAGACGGAGGAGAAGGATAGGAAGGAGGATCGGAGGGAGACGAGGAAGAAGACACAGGAGACAAGACAGACTGGGTAGAAAGAAGGGGAATTCCAGACAGAGGACCAGGAGGGGGACCCTTCGGGACAGAACTCAAAGGAACAGAGGAAGGGGCAGTGGGCGTATCAGGGTCCAAGGCCCGGAAACGGTTGTGAGTCTGAGGAAAATGGAAAGAACAAGGAGAGGAAGAGCACAACACGCGAGCATAAGAGACGCTAGCATAAGGCGGGAGCCGGCGAACCTGGCACCTCGCCTCAGGAAAAGATAAACGCTCCCGGTGCTTCAAGTTGAGGATGGCTGCCTCACGCTTGTAATGGACACACGCACGGGAGAAGGTAGGATGAGCCTCACCGCAGTTGAAACAGCGAGCCTTGGGAGAAGTGCACTCCGACTTAAGAGTGACCTTCGCCGCCCTACAAAGGACAGAGAGAGACTCACAGAGCAGCGGAGGGCACCATGCCCAAACCTCCAGCACTTGTTACAGAGCCTAGAAGAAGGAATGTACTCCTGGACAGAGCACCTGGCACCAGCGAGAATGACAGAGGGTGGAAGGGTCCTACCATCAAAGGTAATTTTCACAACCCGAAGGGGTTGACGGCGACGACCACGAGGGGGACGAGTAAACGTGTCCACCTGGAGGACAGAATGACCCTGGGCATCGAGGATATGCCGAATATCATCGTGGCAGTCCTGCAGATTCTGAACACCGGTCGCATCATGGGGCGGGAGCAGAATAGTGCCAACACTGGCATTCAACTGGGCGTTCTTTGAGACCCGAACAGGGGTCTCACCAAGGCAGGATAAGGCAGCCAAACGGGAAGCTGCATCCTGAGAAGGAACAGCAACGAGACGTGTACCGAGACGAGTGGGGTTGAAGGTAACAGAGGCATCCACGGAATCAACAAGATGTCGATGGAGGGAGAAATCGTCAATAGGAGCAGAAACAAGAGGGAGGAGATCAAAGTATTTGGCCCACGAAGCGGGACTAAACAAGGCTTGATAGGCATCAGAACGGGAAGGAATCGAGCGAGTGCGGCCGTGTCAAGGACGGCTTTGAAAACCCCCAGAGAGAGCGGGGTTAAAAGGCACAGTAGTTACAACTAGAGATTGAGCCGTGCCAGGGGACGAGGTAATCACCACTGGGGGCTTGGGGCTCGACCCAACCACAGAGGAGGGAGGGGAGCCAAGGGAAGTAGTCAGAGAGGCCAAAGGAGGAGCAAGGTCGGGGCCCAATGCAGCGGAGGCTACAGAGCCCGGTCTTCCAATACGGACCAACTCGGGGGCTTGGTCGCCCACCCCACGAGCCTGAGAAGGTAAAAGAGGAACAGAATTCAACATAGGTACGAAAAGAAAAACATTCATTCACGCATGTGCCCCCACACCCACCATGGAGCCACAATTAGCGGCAGGACACCCAACAAGAAGCTATCGCCGATCATGGCGGGGCCCCCCCTAGAGGGTGCGTTGCGAGTATACGCCCCACAAACGCCACCTTAAGAACCGTCAGTCTGTCGAGATCGGGTTCAGTGACGAAAGTAGGATTGACAATAAAAGGTTCCCCTCGCTCTCGACGTTGGATACTACAATTCTATGGGTGCAAGAGTATGCCTCCTCAAGCACCCGGGTGTCAGAATAGAAGACGTCCAAAAGAATAACCAAAACAAGCAAAAGGTCGGCAGGAAACGACAAGCAGATAGGTGAAGAGGGGGTAGAAAAACGAAACAGAAGGAAAAGGAAAAGTCGTTCAGCACAATTAGAGTGGACAGCAGCAGGAGCACAAGGCTACAAAAGGACAGAGGACTGTCCCAAGGAGCATCACACTCCGGCAGCTGCCCACCAAGCCCCCATCACGGCAACAACGAGATGAACAGGGAGGGGGAGACAAAATTCAGAAGTACCAGTACTAACAAATTTAAGATTATACAGTACACAGTTTGCAGATTAAGTATCTTATTTGTATATAAAATTTTACTGACACTGCAATTTGAACAATTCATAGGACTAATTTTAAAGTTTTACAATCAAGTCGGTATTAAAAATAACAAATGGCTATATAAATTCACAAATTGGCAAACCTTAAGGTTATTATATTAATGGATTGCAATAATGGAATTCATTTACATTTATTAACAATTTTAGAAATTGAGAAATCTGACAAGGCAATCAATACCATTTAAAAGGAAATATATTCGTAGTGGTCTAGGAACCAATAGATAGGGCAATCAAGAACTTTAGTATGTGCTGAATTTAATACTCAATTACACACAAAAAAAAAGAAAGTGACTAAAAAAAAAAAAAAAAGTACTATCACAAAAGTTTACTACCAATAATCAACTGAGGTTCACAAGGTAAATACAAAAAACTTAGTTTACACATTCATAGCAATATGCTCTTGGGTACTCATTACATTATCACATTTTGTTTTCTGTAAAAACTATTATTTACTGTGTATTACAGTTATGTGATTTCTGATTATATCTATAATATACATCAATCTGATATTTAAAGTAGGCACTGATAAACATGACATGTACTCACAATACATACATTGGACATGCCAGGAGCATCAATTTATGGGCCATTTCAGAACAACACATGTTGAAACACGAGTCACTTAACATTCAGCTTTCAGTATCGAGGCAAATTCATCATTGTTCAATACCAAAGAACGCACAACTTGCCTAGAACCTAAAACAATTTTCGATTACTCTTATACATCTCCTGTATACTGTAACTGAAACACTCATGACTCAACATCTGTAATACTGACTGCCAAAAGATACTATCAATAAATAAAAAATATCCATTTAACAAAAATATATAAAATTTGAGAGCAGTTTAAGGCCAATCCAGCAGGTGTGTAGTTACACAAAATACCCAAAAGAATCAAATGAACTCAATACTGTAGATGGTAAACTTCCAAGAATATGAAGTGACTGGTGATGGTGCAACCAACAAGGCAACACAGCTGGCAACCGAGTTCTGATGTTGGCAGAATGCACAACCAGGCTTTATAATGCATAGCTTTTATGCTTCTGTCTGTGTGCCAATCCACATAGAATGAGAATGTTCAGCAAGAGTCCACCAGGACCAGTTCAAGATTAAACATTATAAAAAATTACATACATATATTTGGTTTAATATTCTAGTATTCCCACCGACATCCAAACTGTATCTTTAAAAAAATATTTATCAAACTAAAAGCAAAACAGTGAAATAAATTTTGATTGAGATACAGTATTGATATTAGGAGTATACTACATTGCAAAGATACCCGATCCTTCCCCCCCACCCCCCCAGTAATTGTAATGCCCATTCTTACTTTTGCACTGACCTGCAGTTTATCAGAAATTGAAATGGAAGATGCAATAAAAATTGAGCATGATAAACCAACAATGTTTCATAAATAACAAATGTATTTACTAGTTGAAGCAGTTTTATGACTTAAAAACAATTGAAGAAATGCATTCTTGGCCTTATTAAACCATTTTCTAAAAAACTAAACAAAGAACAGTTATATCCATTGTGATGCTATCTTTCAAATGACTAGGTCTGATATTCATAAGCAAGTTTAGTGAGAAGGGTCCCCAAAGTAAAATGGTCAAAGTCATTGTACAGTAAACAAACAAAATTGCCCTCAGGTTCTGGGATCTCATTTAAAATGAGTAAATTATATATACACAAACTCAAATCCTAACAATGACCCACAATCTTATGGCATACCATTATAATGTGGGTAATTTAGAGAAAACAAAGACTAAACACTCTCAATGGAAACAATGACGAGATCAAATGATGGGTAACGTTTTAATGCTCTGCAAACGTCTTGTCTAACTCAAATTAATTGATGTGGTCAGTTATGAACATGCTGGGATCTTAGCTTATTTCTCCAATGTGCCCAACATCAGTCATAAAATAGTGGCAACTTAAACCAGCTGATGTAACCAAAGCTGCTTGAAGAAACTGGACAAATGGGGATATCACAGTTCATTTTTCATGGGGTACTACAGAATTTTTCCATATAAATTGTTTGAAAATAATACAAGGCTAAAATAAAGCACTGATGTAGAAAGTGTCCAAATATTTATTTAATATTGCTAAATGCTAATAATTTTTCATATGGTATCTAACTGAAAGGCATCACACTGTCCTCCAGTTAGCAGAAGCTGAGCAACTGCAAGTAATAAATTCGACTGTACTGTTGAGGTGAGGGCCACAAGATGGAAAACTTCACAGGTTGTCGACAGGCACAGGTAAGAATACATCCCCAGGAATGATATAGAAATCACAAATCATAATTATGATCACTACCATGACTTCAATAAATGCTTAGCCAATTGGCAACAAGGTTTTATGAGCAGAGTACGACATTTTCATTTGTAATCTTGCCGTCACACTTTACCTTGGCAACACATTTGATGTTGGACACCATGCACAAAACGAAACTGTATATATCACAATGTGAAGCCCAAAAATTGGTGGGTTGAGCATCAGCTTGCAAGTCTTTTAAGAGTTCATTCTATGAGAGGTGGAAGCTGTGCTGACCCTCTCTGGCCGCGATCTCCAATTTGGCACGCATAATATCAATACTGGAGTAGTCTGGTAGTTTCAGGTAATTAACGCAGGTCATCACAGAGGGTAAGAAGTCATCAGGGTTCTCTCCAGCTTCAAACGTTTTCCTCACAATTGTGAGAGCTGGAGTTAGACTTCTAAAACCTGTGTAAAAAAATTTATATTTGGCAGTATCAAAACATGGGTACTTTTTTCACATGCAGCTACTTCATGTTTAAATTAAACACTTTTAGCTAGTTCACTGACATTTAAATTCAATATAGTCCAGTACTAAGAGTCCAAAACATACCATTTTCATGTGCAAGTTAGGTGGTTATATGAAGGCAAAGTATCATACAAAAATTTAATAGTTGCTGTTTTGCCATCCACATTTTATTATGACATGAAGGAACACTTAGGAACAAAGTTAGAGTAGAATAAAGAATACATGCATGTAAAAATGATCACTCTCTTCCACTGATATTTAACTGCTGCGCAATCACATCCAGTTATAATTTTTTTTTTTTTTACTTATTTTGGGATCTGCAACAAAGAAAACCAGTTTACATGTGTAACATGCCTCCCTCTCTCTCAACTGGTTTTCATCACAGCTAAACTGCTGCTGCTTCTGAATTAAGTTCAGACTTTAGCCACACTTTAGCCAAGACTTTAGACTTTAGCCAAGTCATATTCAAGTGAATGATTGAAGACAATGAAAATGATGAGACATGTTCGTAATTAAATTCATCCCAGTTAGTTCATGACATAACTACCTTTTCATTTTATTTTACTTAAATTTTTTTTTCCTTTAAACATGAAGTACAACAAATACCAGATTTATATGAAAGATTTTTGTGGCATAAAACAAATTTTAATAGCTGTACTAAACAGACTTCATACAAAAAACTGTAGCCAAAATGTAAGAATAGTCATTAATGCTCTCCATATATTAGAAATAGTAGAAAAGCAACAGGTCTGCACCACATGACAATGTGATGTGGTGGAGGCACACTATTCAGTTTTAAATGTACGGTAGATATGATAAGAGCTCAATAGTCTCAAATTTGTACACCAACTGCCTAACAGTTGAGAGGCAGGACCAAAGATCCAATGCTCAACCCCTGCAAGCACAATTAGGCGAGTGCATTTACATTTTAAGGTCTTTTATTTGCATTAGCACAATCCTCTAAACTAATCTGGTACATACTACACACCTTAGTAAACCAATGGAAATAATTTGATTAAGTTTAAATTCAGAAAGACCTGGGTTAACACTGGTCTTGTTGAAAAATAACGGTTAACATAGATGTGGAATTCCTTTATTATTTTAAGTGTAGGTTAGACATGCAAGTGTGGGTGGAAATAAATAGGAGCTACCTTGTATGGCCTAATACTACTTCTGTGGTTAACTTTTATTCTTGTTAAATGATTCCAAATTACTGTAGGGACCAGTAAGTATATTTCATATACAATTAATTTTTTGCACCAGGGCACCTTTTAAACCCCATAACCAAGTGCTTCTTAGTGATTAGGAATGGTGGAGGTTTGTAGGGGGTTAGAGGGTGGGAGCAATTAAAACCAAGTCCTCAGGACATTAATTTCTGAGGACAATTTCCTACACTCACCATAACATTTATTTGAGAATTAAAAAGAGAGAAAACTGACCCAGATGTAATATCTAAGCTACACATCAGCAAATGAAGAAATGACAATGTTCCTGTCCATCCTGGTCCAACATCAAGTCATGTAATTACATGAATTTATAGTAGTCCAGGACAGACCAAAACATCGTCGTCGTCGTCGTCTTCATTTCTAATTCTTGGTTTTGACATATCTTCAGTCATGTTATTTTGACTCATCTAAAACTGACCAATAACTTATTTAATGTAAATTGTGGGCAAATAAAATTGCAATTTTAATTACTACTCACATCAAAAATCAACACCACTACCTAATTATCAATTTCATGGGAGAACATTACAAATAACCAAAATAAACCATGGAATACTAAATCTTCCATAATGTGCTACAATATTAGATAGAATAACCCTAATCCAATATATCCATGCCTCATCCCAACACTTTGTATAACCAGCTATCAAGTGACTATTCCTTGTTTCAATTACATTCAATAAATTACTTCAGATTAATACCCCAAGTTTGTAACATCTCCAAAATTATATCACTGCTTGTATGCAAATATGTTCAAAACTTACCTCCAACAGGAAGCCGGGGTGAACCCGTGACAAATTGTAGGAAAGATCGCTGTTGAGCAGATGTATATTCTGACAAAATTTGCAACAGGAACTTGACTGCTCGAGAATTGTGCGTATAGCCATGATCTGGCCGGCAGCACTCTGCTAGCTGCTTCATGTCCCATTGTGATGCATCCGAGGAACCGCAGAACAATTGCTCGAGCTCCTCAGGATAAAAGACGTGGAGTTGTGTCAAAGGAAACACGCATTCAAATCCTTCACGAAGGGCTTCCATTTGTCTTCTCACTCCCTCCCGCACTAGCCATTCTATCACGAGCTACCGAAGAAAATTATATTTAGCGACTACACTTTTATTATAATTGGAAGAACAAGCATTTTTTTATGCAAGATTGACGAGCACTGAATGAGAAAACATCGAGGGCCATACGATGAGTTTGATCTCCCCATATAGTATAAATATTCTCATACTTGTTCATTTGGTTTCATTGTGCAATATTGTATATTTTTGTAACTAAATTAAATGCAATTAAATTCAAGATTAACTAATCTGAAACATTACCTTTAAATAAAGAAAAACTAGATAAGCATAAAACTGATCTTAATATACTCATCCCTTCAAATGTTACTGCCACCAAATTGTCAAAGGCTCCCAAGATGTAGAATATACAATCACACAAATTAGCACACTACTTGACAACTAATACAGTACACCCCAACTGGATTGTCTGGGCAATACTATAAATGAATGCCCCTGAAACTGTCCATGTTAATGGTGTTATGTAATATACATTTCTGTCCAATAATTAGCCACTAACATACACCTATGTATAGTTTATAAATAAAATTACTGTAAGAGCTCAGTAATTCCAATTTTGGTAACCCAAATCCACGTTCACTACAGGTACTGTAATTGGAAATTAATTCTGGTTAAATTTTTTTTTTAACCTTTTTACTCTAATAGTAATTCATGTTACCGAGCATTCTGCTGAACAAGAAAACCAAAAACCGGTAAATTTGAACGAGTTCAATCTTGGGCATCTCCATTAAAAGTCTGCTAACTAATGTTTGGCCAACTCTAATGAGTCTACTAACTCTAACTCTAATGATGACTACTTTGATCTAATATTACCAAATTTAATCTAAAGCCTTTGACCTAAGGCATTACACATTAATGTAACAAAATTAATCCTTATAGAATCCCAATTTTGTTGGTAAACCCAAACTAAATGCTGCAAAAGGGTAGAAAGTTTGATTGAAAAAATAAAAATTTCAAAACTTACTTGCAGGTACTGATCGAGGTTATTAATGGTGACCGATATATCAGAGCCCCCCTTTCGAAATTCTATATTAGGGTAGCCAGGCAGAGTAAAGGTTAGCGCCAGGTCTTCCACACTGCAGCCATCTACTGTTAAAGCATCTAGACGAGTCTGAAGAAATTACAATGAAACATAACATCCTTGCACATTTTTATACATCACACATTGGCATATTGATAAGTCAAAAGTAAATTTTTTTTTTCAAAATAGCATTAATGACTTTCATGATTCCTTCACTAACTGTAAACAAGAGTTATAACATGATTTAATACTAATGTAAGATAACCTTGGAATACGTACTTGCAAAATTAACTATTAAACCTTAGGAAACCTCAATTGTTGATTCATGGGGTAATGTGAACATCAACATATGATGATTTAAACAATTATTGTCTAGGTTTTACAAGTGTGATGCAAATATGGATATAATAGGCGTATGTGGATGTAATGCAATGGAATTTACTAAGTAAAAAAATCTTGCTACCATTTCAGGGTATGAACACATTGTCATGAATGTTACTGTTCTAGGGAAATGTGGTCATCATATGCCTATTTAAGCAGTTATTGTCAGGATTTTACATGTATGATGCAAATATGGAAATAATAACTCTGTAGATGTAAATAATGAAAATACTGATAGAACAATCATTGAAACATCCGAAAATAAAACAGGAAGCGTTAGCAAAGTTGATTACAGTACTAGGCATTGACAAGTGCAGACACAGCCTTGCCGAACACCTCCACATAATGAAACAATAAATATTCACTAATTTTCATGTGTTTCTTGCATTTTTCATACAAATTAATAATTCTATTATGAAAAATTATTTTGGGGTATTATTTTTTTTGTTCAAATGAAGCTATCACCATTTTCTCCATAGCTGCTATCTATGGGTTAAAGATCACATCTGTAGTTTAAAAATACTATATAATTTACTGTATACAAATAAATAAGGAAACTTTGTACTGTATTCCAAGGGGTATATGCACTCATTATACAAGAATATTTAGTTTTAATTTTTTTTTGGCATTTCATCATACATTTATTGAAAGTGATTAACCCTGCAACAGCGAAAATAGTATATACGGTTTACAATTTTGGTCTAACTGCCTGCACAATGCACATAGTATATATACATTTTAAAGTACGGTGGCAACACAGGGGTTCACATCAACTTCCTGAGGGTTCTAGTAAACAGAGGCCATTTAAAATAATAATAATAATAATAATAATAATAATAATAAAAAATCGTGGGAAATATTTTCAGGTGTGAAGGTCTCGGTACTGAGGGAGCAACCAAGGGTGGCACATGTAGCATGAGCTAACAGCACTGCTGTTCAGCTTATGACCACTGCATTGCCTAAAAAAATGTCAAAATATTTGACATTTTGAGTAACTGCTATTATTATAAGTGTGTACAATGTTCAGATACCAGTGAACACAATGCTGTTCAAGATGTTCACAGCACTAGCCACAGCACACTGCCATTGTTTGATCCATCCAAGAATATTTAAATGACTTTAATGTTCCTTTACAAAAACTGGTGGAAAATTATTCAGTTACAGGATTTAGTGACCAGGATGATAATCGCAGCATTGTGGTGAGAATTATTAATGTGCATAGTATGGAGGGAGGAGGAATCTTAGCGAGAGTTAGGGAGGTAGCAACATAAGCTGACAGTGTGGCTGGCACTTATTTTCTGGACTCACCATACCAGCTTAGTGGTTCGTTATGGTGAACACAAATGTAGATACTTAAACGTGTGTAGGTAGCGTAATAACAGCGAGCGCACACTTATGTACGTACTCGCCTAAATGTGCTTGCGGGGGTTGAGCTCTGGCTCTTTGGTCCCGCCTCTCAATCGTCAATCAACAGGTAATTACCTAATTGTAACTATCTAAGTGTAGTTACAGGATGAGAGCTACGCTCGTGGTGTCCCGTCTTCCCAGCACTCTGTCATATAATGCTTTGAAATTACCGACGGTTTTGGCCTCCACCACCACCTCACTTAACTTGTTCCAACCGTCTAAAACTCTGTTTACAAAAGTGAATTTTCGTATATTTCTCCGGCAGCTTTGTTTTGTTAGTTTAAATCTATGACCTCTTGTTCTTGAAGTTCCGGGTCTCAGGAATTCTTCCCTATCTATTTTATCGATTCCTGTTACCATTTTGAACGTAGTGATCATATCGCCTCTTTTTCTTCTATCTTCTAGTTTTTGCATATTTAATGCCTCTAATCTCTCCTCGTAGCTCTTGTCCTTCAGTTCTGGGAGCCACTTAGTGGCATGTCGCTGCACCTTTTCTAGTTTGCTGGTGTGCTTCTTAAGATATGGGCACCATACATATTCCACCTTTGTTCTAACAAAAGTCGTGAACAATTTCTTTAGTATTTCTCCGTCAATGTATTAAAAAGCAATTTTGAAGTTAGAAAGTGTAGCATAGGCTCCTTGCACAATGTTCTTAATGTGGTCCTCAGCTGACAGCTTTCTATCTAGAACCACCCCTAAATCCCTGTGTCAATTCTTGAAAGATTTCTCACATAATTTATAGGTTGTGGGGGGTCTATGTTCTCTAATTCCACATTCCATAACATGGCATTTATTCACATTAAATTCCATTTGCCAAGTGTTGCTCCACATACTTATTTTGTCCAGGTCTTCTTGAAGGGCATGGCAATCATCTAGGTTTCTTATTTTCCCTATTATCTTACCATCATCAGCGAACATGTTCATATAATTCTGTATTCCCACTGGTAGATTGTTTATGTAGACAACGAACATTACCAGTGCAAGAACTGAACCCTGTGGTACTCCACTAGTGACATTCCTCCAATCCGATACCTTGCCTCTGATTGCGGCCCTCATTTTTCTATCAGTTAGGAAATTTTTCATCCATGTTAGAAGCTTACCTGTCACTTCTAATATTTTCCAGTTTCCAGATCACCCTCTTATGTGGAACTCTGTCGAAAGCTTTTTTAGGTCAGTCAACCGGTCGGTCATAGATGCAGTCAACCCAACCATCTCTTTCCTGTAAAGTCGGTGTGGCTCAATCTTAGAAACCGAGTAAATTCGATACATAGGATCTTTCAGATCGAAAATCATACGGTGTATGATGATATATCTTTTCTCTCCAGGTGTCCTACCCATTTAGTTTTAATTATTTTTTCTAATATTTTGACTATTACACTTGTCAATAATACAGCTCTATAATTGAGGGGGTCTTCCCTGCTTCCACTTTTATAGATGGGAACTATGTTAGCCTGTTTCCACACATCAGCTACAACTCTTGTAAACAGGGATGCCTGAAAAATCAGTTTAAGTGGAATGCTGAGCTCAGGTGCACATTCTCTCAGAACCCATGGAGAAACTCCTTCTGGACCAACTGCTTTGTTCTTACTTAGCTCCTTGAGCATTTTTTTCCCACTTCGTCTCTAGACACCTCTATGTGCTCTATGTTGTTCTCTGGCATTCTTATTGTGTCTGGTTCCCTGATGATTTCATTTTGTACAAACACACTTTGGAACTTTTTGTTTAGTGTTTCACACATTTCCTTTTCATTTTCCCTGAATTTATTTCCCATTTTCAACCTCTGAATATTATCTTTACCTGCAATATGTTATGAATTTATAGAATAGACCTGGCTCTGTTTTACATTTGTCTGCAATCCCTTTTTCAAAATTTCTTTCTGCCTCTCTTCTCACTGCCGTGTAGTTGTTTCTCGCATCTTTGTATCGCTGGTATGTTTAGGGGTTTGGCCTCTTTCTGTATCGATTCCATTTTTTTGTCTTTTGGTCTCTGGCCCTCTCGCAATTTCTGTTGAACCAATCCTGTTTCCTAGTACTGCATCTCTCTTTTGGCATGAATGTTTGTGTGCCTTCATCATATATTTTGCAAAATTTGTGTTACGGACCCGAGCCCGACGTCCGAGCACGGAGCAGTGACGACCGCGCCATCTGTGGGTCGGCTCCCGAAACCCCCTCCAAATGGACGACGACACCTGGTGAGGACGAAGTGTACCGGCCACAAGGGCCAGTTTCCAGTCCCGTTCAGCTCACAACACCGCCGCTGCTGACCTCTGGTGAGGTGGTGCTCAGACGACAACGCCATCTATGGAGTGGATATGTCGGGCGTTTGTGTCTGAGCCTGTAAGTGAGGTGCTTTAGTGTGTCCCTGATATTGATGACGTGTCTGCTTACAGAGTCGACCTGGGACTGCTGTAAGGGAAGATGAGTCAGTCTACCCAAGGCAGCCGTCCCCATACCTTGTGCTTTGCTGCAGCAGCTGTGAGTCGCCTCCCGGAGGAACACTGTGGTGTTACCCTGCCAGTGAAGTGGCAGTAGAAGGATTGTCGTACCCGGGACCGACTGCTGGAGACGATTGACCACTGGGGTATTGAGGACAGGAGAGTGATTTGTGGTATCACACGAGGCTCCTGACTAGGGCGCTACCCTAGTATCGCTCGTGGAGTGGCCTGACCAGCGTTGCTGATCCGGAACCTGCCAGCTGTTCTGCTGGACTTGTGGTTGATGGCCTCCACGGCGGTGCCCCAGTGGAACTGTGTTTTGGCTGGCCTGTGTCTGGGGTAGACTCAGCTTGATAGAAGGATTCGTCAAGAGACCACGAAAGCACCGAGGACTTGGCACCGAGAGGATCCCGCGTCTTCAGGAGAAGACAACCATGTATATACTTCCCTTGTGTAGTGTTAATACCCCTCCCCCTGTGTAACTTTTATATATTACTTATTGGTGAAGGTAATTATAATCTTAAGTTTTTGCCTTTCTTTCCCTTCCCCTTTTATTTTACTTGCGTCACGGATCTCATCCCTTGAGAGCCACTACTGGCTTGGGGCCGGATACCCTTCCTCTAATAACATCAGAGTACGAACCCAGTTGCGACCCGAGAGGGCCGTAACAATTTGGCATACATCTCTTACTTCCTTGCCTAGCAACAAGTCTGTCCAACTATACCCATGAAAAAAATTTCTAAGTTCCCTATAGCGTCCTCTCTTGAAACTGGGTACAGTGAAACAGTAAACTCATTCTCTACTAATTATATCGCATAGTGTATTTAATGTCCAAGAGGACGTGATCACTCTTTCCCAAGGGAGGAAG